GAAAAGAAACTGTCTCTTCCCAGAGCTTATTTATATCCAAGTTGTATAACTTGTAGTGCCAAATGTCCTCATTCACTAAAAGTAAAACGAAAATAAAATTGCAATTTCCATTTTTTGCTGATGAGTGCATTTAGTCATGTCCAATTCTCTGAATATCTCTGTGAAGCAGAGATGGAGTTTGTTTAAGCCAGTGTAAGGAACAGATGTTTTTTTCTTTTTTTTTTCTGTTCGATTCATAAAAAAGAACTCTTGTATCTATCTTGTTAGCAGTATGGGGTCCCCCCCCCCCCTTTTTTTTTTAAGGTGTCAATATCTTGCTTTGTTCAGGTCAAATCATTTCAGGTATATGTTGCTGTTTGAGTTGACAAAGTGTCTGATTGTTGCAGAGCATTGATGGCAACAATTCTGTATTGTAAACCAGAAGACATGCCAGAATCGTTCATGTTTATGTGGCTTTAAAATGGAGCAATTTAGAGCAAGATTGCATTTGATTTTTTTTTTTTTTTGGTACTCCTTAACAAAAAGAGCTCTTTGACAGAATAAAGAAAACCCATTACTGCTGCTCATCCATCTACAATGTTTGTGACAAAAGCCTGTCTGAATATTCTGCCTGCTGCTGCTGCTGTTGGGTTTTGTTTAGAGTCCATTACTCCAGATATATATTTTTTTCTGCTTTTATGAGGATTTGCAAGTGGGTTTGCTCATTTAAATGCATTAGATGGCATTAAGTAGGAAATATCACCTGTTTGCCCTGGACAGAGTATTACAGCACCATTAAAAAAGCCCATCCATCACTGAGGACAGATGGAAAAACTAATAGCAGAACAAATGTAGGAAGACAGTTTGTGTTTGTGAAGAAGATTTTTGATTATCACAACAGAATGAACTGTTCGTTTCATTTAAAACTAAAAGGTAATGACGTGAAATAACTGAATAACAAGTGTTTCCTTTGTTTCTGACGTCGGGTTCGGGATGAAACACTGACCCAGTTTCAGCACCTCGGGGTGCATGAAGGTGTTACTAAACTCACCTGCTGGCGACCTGTCTCTCTCCTCCTCCATGGTCCTGCATCCGCTCGGTGAGCAGAGCTGCTGCGCTCCGATCCCCTGCTTCAAGCTGACGGATCACTCCTCCCCACCACTGACCAGTTATTTGCGTTGAAAACAAACAAACAACAAAAACGAGCTGACCCGAGCTGTTTTGCAGAGTTTCTCTCTGAAGCCTGGTGATGCTGAGAGGATGAGGATGCAGGTGGCGGCGGCGGGGGTCAATCCTTTGATCATCAACCCGCCAAGCAGGAGGAACAGGATTGTTTATTTTTCGCTCTTGCACCTCCAGCGGTCCGCATGACCCACTTCAGCACCACAACACGCACAACAGCCGAGCCCATTCATTCAAGATCCGCGCTCCGCAGCAAGTCTCAGGTCTGATCCCTGCAGCAGACTCATCTTCACGCTCCCCGGACCCAGATCAGCTGTCAGTCTGCGGGCAGTCCGTCGGTCCGGCGGGACTTCGGARCTCTGGAAGAGGAGGAGGGGAGGCTTTCAGATGTTCTACCTCTCTGCTGGTCCTACCAGTCTGCTTCATTGTTCACCGTCTTCCCCCCCAGCATAACTAAATACGCTCACGTGTTCTGGGTCCTAGCGCCGGGATATCTCCATCCCCGCACAAACAGGACCGTTTAGTTTTTGATTCATGCTTTGATGGAACAAGTTGCTCCAATTTATATTTCATAATTCATCAGCTCAGGGATGGCCCTAGCCTATTTGGCACCCTAGAGCAGTGGTTCCCAAACTTTTTGTCTTCTGACCCACAAAATAT